GCCCCCCCCCCCCCCCCCCGCCCCAGTGGGGCTCTCTGGTCCAGCAATGATGTTGCCAGAACAGAGAGTACTAGAATTTAGAGTTTCAACCTGTATTTTCAAAAATGTGTCCATTAAGGGCTTGAACTGCTGCTTGCTAATGTGAGGCAGATTCCCATTGATTTTTAATGGATGCTGCATTACAGACTGAATGAAATAGGACTCCCACCCCTATCTAATTCTAAATAAAGTGGATGAACACTCACCATGCCTGCACTGAGAATCCTCCTTTTGATAACCATATGGGCCTTTAGACATAGTTACTGAGGGATCCAGGATTAAGAAAGACTCTTAACAACAAATGTCCTGTTTAGAGACTCTTTAATATTAGGCTTTTATTTGCACAGTTGCCTTTAGTTGCAGCCTTCCATAATTTCAGATTTCTCTGCTCACTTTTCTTACAAGCCCTCTGTATGTTGAGGTCAATGGAGGTGCATCTACACTGCACCATAACTCAAAATAAGATTCGCAATTTGAGCTACGCAAATTGAGTCTCTTATTTCGAAATGGCTTATTTCATCATTTGGCGCTATTTACACAGTGCCAAATTTTGAAATAAAGTGCTATGCCGAAACATCCCTTACTCCTCGGAGAATGAGGTTTACAGGGACATTGGACTAGTGAGCCCAAAATAAGGGGCTTGCTGTGAAGATGCAGGAGAGCTGTTTCGAGAGACTCTGAAATTTCAGTATCCTGAAATAGCACTGTAGCGTAGACATACCCTGGATGTCGTAAGTATGCACGGCTTGCTTAAACAGACTCCCAGGTTATGTCTACACCGGTGGGTTCTTGTGCAAGAACTCTTGCACAAGAACACATCCACACTGCCATGTGCATTTGTGCAAGAGCATCCATGGCAATGTGGACACTCTCTTGGGCAAGAAAGATGGCCATTTTAGCATAGGGCTTTTTTGCGCAAAAAACCCCTGCCGCATGTCCACACTGCCCTCTTGCGCAAGAGGGCTTACACTTGTTAGAAAAGAGCGTAGCTCTTGCACAAGAAGCCCTGTCTTCCGATGATGTACTGTAAATCTTCTTGCGCAAGAGCAGGTGGGCAGTGTGGATGCTCTGCCAGTTCTTGCTCAAGAATGTCCATTCTTGTGCACGAACCCGCCAGTGTAGACATAGCCCCAGAGTGCATCAGGCATAGATAGTCAGCTCAGCCAGATTAGCCTTTTATAATATGTGAAGATATAGCATCTCATAGAACTGGAAGGGACTTGAGAGGTCAAGTCCAGTCCCCTGCCCTCACATGGGGCGCCGGGCAGCATAATTCCGCAGGCCCCCCCCCTTTGCCACGGCGCATGCGCAGTGACACCATGCGCATGCACAGCGGCGCCACAGCGCATGCGCGGGGCTTTCTGAAGTGCAGGGCCCGGGGCAGCCGCCCTGCTCTATATCCGCCCCTGTTGCCCTAGATCCCTAAATGGCCCCCTCAAGGATTGAACTCCCAACCCTGGGTTTAGCAGACCAATTCAAACCATTGAGCTATCCCTCCTCTGCCCCTCAGTTCAAGGCATAAAAAGAAATAGTAACAAATCTCAGAGTATCTTAATTTCTGACACACAAAATCAGATACTGCCCCTGTAACTATTTATTTAGTAACTAAGTTACCCTTCTGTGTTGGCAGTGATCCATAACTGCTTTCTTGGTCATTTTAACAGAAAATGAACTTCCTGGCAAGGTCGTGTGGGTGACAGGAGCTTCAAGTGGAATTGGAGAAGAGTTAGCTTACCAGCTGGCAAAGATCGGGGCTCTGCTTGTGCTTTCTGCAAGAAGAGAGAACGAATTGGAAAGGGTGAAACAAAAGTGTCTTGGTAAGTTTAAAAAAAAAAAGTGGATTGATCTGGCTTGCCATGATAGTTTAAAAAAAAAATCCATGCAACAGGAATAAATTGAGAATAAGTCAGATATGAACTAGGTTATAATGCATTTTATTTTTGAGTTGTGAATTCTTAGAACATGTATTTTAGGAAGCTCTAACTGAATGATGCACTGTTATAGGAGGAGTAAAAGAAAATATTTAGGTGCCTAAAGTTGCAGATGGGTGCACAGGCAACTAGTGGGATGCTCAAAAGCACCCTTCTACAATTAGGCAATTTAATAGTCTGAGCCTTTGTCCCTGGAAAATAAGAGGCTGTTTTTCAAAGGAACATAAGGGAACTGAGCCAACAGGGTGGGGTTGTGTAGAAATTCTGACAGCCTTTTAGTGTAAAGTTACGAAATGTTTGAGCTGCCTAAGATAGGCAGCTAAGCTTGCCTGTGGTGGCAGTTTGTAAGTTTCAACATTGAGCTTCTCTAACTTGAAACAGCCCCCTCCCCCCCAAAAAAACCCCAACAAGCAAATGGTCTGGTAGTACTTTGTAGACTAACAAAACATGTAGATGGTATCACGAGCTTTCGTGGGCACAGCCCACTTCAGATGACCAGAGTTATGATTAAAGGATAAGGAAACTCGAAATAAATAGGAGGAGGGAAGGGGGGGGAAGATGTTCTGTGGGTGACCATACCTCCTCTAATCATAACTCCGGTCATCTGAAGAAGTGGGCTGTGCCCATGAAAGCTCATGATACCATCTACATGTTTTGTTAGTCTATAAAGTTCTACCAGACCATTTGCTTGCCTTTTTTTTTTTTTTTTCTCTTGTAAGACTAACTCGGCTACCCCCTGAAGCTCTTGAAACAGCCAGGGTAGCAAAAGCTGTAATCCTGGGTAATCAGCTTTATGGCAGCACTAGAGCAGTTCCAGAACACATGCTAGATTCATTACTTTGACACGGACATTCGGGAGTATTCCTTCAATTTAATTATCATAGGGGTAGCTGTGTTAGTCTGAATCTGCAAAAGTGGCGAGGAGTCCTGTGGCACCTTATAGACTAACCGAAGTGTTGGAGCATGAGCTTTCGTGGGCAAAGACCCACTTGTCAGATGCATGTCAGACATGCATCAGACGAAGTGGGTCTTTGCTCAGTTTAATTAGTTATTCTGGGTTCAGGGTCTGTTAATGAAGCACTGTGGTGCAACGTAGGTACCCCACAACTAGAATCTGTGCCCGTGGCTCCGAGGCAAGTGTAGATGGGAACATCGGCCAGTATTGTTCCAATCACTGATCCTTCATTTGGTTCTGCTGACCAAGATGCCAGATCTGACATGTAGGGCCACCCCTTCAGTTGGTATAAATCAAATGACTTCACTAGAGCTCTGGTGACCTACATCAGTGGAGGACCAGATCCACAGGGGTTGACTTGTATTACCCTGGAATGGGACTATCACCTCTTCCGAACCTAGTAGGGTGAATTGAGGCAGTGGGATCTGCTCTTGACTAGCATGCCCAGTATTTGTAGACAGTCTTTCAAGCAGTAATTCAGATGCCACTGTGTTTATGTATGTGTATATGCGCGTGCACACACTGTCTGTGTCTCTTTAAAAGTGAGCCCCACAGGATTACTGTAAAGCAGGCAGTCCATTGTATCATGCTACAATAAATGTAATATTAAGCTGAAGTACATGGCATAACTAGAACAAATAGTTTTCTGTACAGCTACTATAGTAACCAAAATGATAGCAATTCAGCTAGTTAGCAGATATTTAGAACTTTGAAAAAAATATAGTTTCAAATTGACTTGTTCAAGAGGCACTCCTCACCCTATCACATCTAATCATCTGTTGCCACAGCCAGATGCAGTAGTTAGGAGAGCCAGACCCTGGCAGCAAAGTCAAGATAAACTGACATCTCCGTGCTACTGTGCGACAAGTTAACAGTGCTTCATTATCAGTGGCTTTCTACTAACACTAAATGTGATCATTAAGTGCCATAGCCCTTTGTTTTATTGTGTTACTATGCGAGAACTGCTTTGGTTTTCTCTTTTTTTCCTTTGCAGTTGGTCCCATATTTCATGTTGTGGAGGACTGTTTAAGAATTAAGTTGACCATGGTGGAATATCTAGTGAAACTTCAAAAGGCTTTTTTTGGGGGGGGGGATGGGTAGTTAGTTCTCCAGGCTTGTCAAAGACTTCTATACAAAACCAAATATGATTTAATATTTGGAATAACCATTATATTTAAATCACTTCTGTGAGGCTGTTGAAAATTATGAGCAGTAAATTCCAAAAAGAAAACCCTATTTTTGATAGCCTGGTTTTTTTTATTCAACTTTTTTTTGCCTGTAGTTCCTATTCATACATGTCCATCCCACCCTCTCTACACACACTCCAACTTTGTTACTATCAACACAAGGAAAAAGTCTGAGGAGACTAATTTTTAAGATATCTGTGATATGTGGCATGGAATGTTTTGAGAGGCTAATATTGTATGATTAACAATAATGGTCCACTACATTAGAATTCTAATTTGAAGAGAGGCACATGTAGATCTGAAATTACTTTTGTCAATTCCAAATAGAAGAAGCTGTTGTACAAATACAACACCTAGCACCGTGGGGGGTCCTATTCTTGGTTAGTCCTTAGGCACTAACATAGACATTAATTAATATCTGAAGTGATTTCTAGTACTTAACTTGCTATACCATGTCACCTGCGCACCCATCTCTTTAAAGACAACTAGTTTGGGATACACTCAATCTCTCATTAGATGAGCATCAAAGAGACCGTATTTGCCTTCTTGGTAATTGGTGGGATATTACAGAAGCTGTTTTAACTTAAAAAGACAACAAATGGTCTTGTAGCATCTTAAAGATTAACACAAACATAGAAACTCTCTGCATTTAACAAAACTGGGAGGGGGGATTAACCTCTGGGGAGACTGGGAAAAGAAGGTGGGAGAGAGAAAAGCGGGGGAAATAGTCGAGTGTCTGTGCTACATGAAGCTGATAAAGTGCAAATTGTTCTTAAGAACCCATTTTTTTTAAAATGTCATTAGGATGTGGAATGTAGCGGGCCATCCAGCCAGTGTCTTTATTCATACCTTTGTGATAGCTTCATTTACAGGTTTGATTCCTAAGTTCTAAGGCTTCCCTGTGTAGTTGGCTTGTGGAATTGGCCTGAAACAGTAGGGTGACTGGGATTCAGTAATGAGTGCCCAGGCAAGTTTAAATGTTCCTCAGCGGGTTTCTTTGCATTGCCTTTTCGGATACCTGATTTGTGTCCATTAATTCTTTCCTGTAGAGACTGACCAGTATACATGGCAAAGGGGCATTGTTGGCATTTGTCACGTTAATGGATGCCTTTTCTATCAGCTTCATGTAGCATGGACAGTATAATTTACTATTTCCCTGTTTTTTCCCTTCTTTTTCCTTCTCTCTCCCCTATTTATTTAGAAACTGGACCTTTAATAATTCCATTAATCTGAAGAAGTGGGTTGTACCCATGAAAGCTCATGATACCATCTACGTGTTTTGTTAGTCTTTAAGGTGCTGCAAGACTATTTGTTGTCTTTTTAAGTTATTCCAAAACAAAAGGAAAAACTGTGTAGCAGTCTGCCCCGATATAGCATCCTCAGAGTGGCCCATCCAGGCACCCAGTCAGTGTCTAGTTTGAGATGCATGTAGTCTGACTTCTCTCAGAATTGTTGAGTTCCCATTGCCTTCAAGTGGATGCTCTTTCATTCAGTGGCTGAGTCAGTAGACTTTAGGATTATATCTTAGGCCAGACCTACACTAAAGAAGGTCAAAATAAAATATGCAACTCCACTTTCATTAATTACATATCTGGAGTCGATGTATCTTAATTCAAGTTTCCCTACTATCCCCACAGTGGGAGGCCGACAAGAGTAAATGCTCTTGTTGGCTTCCAGTACAAACAGCTGACAGGGGTACCCTCTGAGTTTGATTTAGCAGGTCTCTACTAGACCTGCTAAATCGAACTCTGAAAGATCAATTGTGTCTGGAAGGAACTTCAAGAAGTCTTCAAGTCCATCCTCTTCTGAAGATTAAACCTAGACTATCACTGTTCTCAAACCCTCCAGTGAGTGATTTCACAGCCTCCCTTGGAATTCTATTGCAGAGCTTAACAACCTTGATAACTAGAGCACTTTTTTCTTAATAGCTAACCTAAAATCTCTCTTGAAGACTGTTGTTTTCTTCTGTCTTCCCCCCACTCCTACTCAGTCTTTTCTCAAGACTAGGCATGTCGAGGATTTTTACCCTTTCTTCATCGTTAGTTTTTCTGATTATAGGAGAACTTACAAGTGACCCTTTGTCATTAATTTTGTCTTGCACATGCTAACTGGGTAGCAAGCACTTAAAGAGTCTCGCTACAGACCAGCCATCTTATAGCACCTGAACTACTGTAACTAGCCCAGTTACTGATGGGTATGAGGCTATGCAGCAGTGTCTGCTGTATAGACACGTCCTCACTAAACAAACATTCAGGGGTCTGATCTGCTGTCATCGGCATGTTTGAACAGAGCAATGGCAATGTTGCATAGGTGTCCCTGAGGATATAATTTACTCTGTAGGATCTTTTACAAATGGTGATGAATGAAATGCCAGCTTTAAACATCAACAGTGATGGCTTTAATCTCAACAAAGTGGGTTACTGCCTCCAGGTGCGCAAGCAAGGATGCAGCATTTGTGGCAAAGGTTATATCTCTAACAAAAGAAACTTATTGGGGGCAGGGATAAAGTTCAACACAGTGTTTGCCCAGCACTGTGGAAACAAGGTTTACTCTTTTTCTGTATTTATTGGATTGCTCTAAATGTAATCATTAACAAGTCATGTGAAGATGATGGAAAGAGAAAGATCATTGAATTTATGTCCCAGAAACAGATGAAAGAGCATTAGTTACTAGGTAGAGTTGAATTAAAAACATTTAAAAATGATAAAAATAGACATTAAGACTAAGGAGGGGAGATAATTTTGTTGCATTTGCTGTGTGAAGAAGACTCACAAGCTGCTATTTAGAAAGCAGGCTCAGTGCAACTGAGAGAAGTCAGTTGTTCAAAACAAATTAAAAAAGCAGATGCATTCTGCATGAAGACTTGGAATTGATGGTGTTTGGCTTGACTAATGTGTTCATCAGTGTGAAAGCATGTTAAAGAGCATTCTGTTTAAAAAAAAAAAAAACCCCAACTGATGCAACAATGAAAACGTTTCAAGATGCATTTAAGCTTCCTCAAATCCTTATTAGTCACAAAGAAAAATTGACAAAACACAAATGTTCTGGTTACCCTAAATACTGTTAACAAAAGAGACAGCAGCTTGACCATGAGGGAGTGGTCAAGGAGGAGAGGTAGTGTCTATAGCAGTGGTGTCCAACCCATTCTGAAGCAATAATTACTACAGTGAATTAGTCACACTCAGCTGGCCAAATAGCCACATGTGGTTAGTGTGTTGGACACCACAGTCTATAGACTCCCTGCCCTCTTCTGAAGAGTGTGGGTTCACTGGCTCACGCTAATGAAACTACTCAGAATGGCAGGGTTGGCTTAGAAGTTTTGGACTCTGAGAGTTGGCATGGAACAAATTCTGGCTAGCAGGGATTTGGAGCAATCAAATTTTTGAATTGCTCCACTCCAGCTCCGCTCCGGCACCAATAGTGACTGCTCCTGCTCCGCTCTGACTCCACTACGTGCTCCTACTCAAATTAATTTTTAACTAAAAGTTCATACTGTAATTTTGGAAAAAAACATTATTTTTATTCAGTTTTAAAACAATTTAAATGTCATCAACTAGGCATCATTCATAATTCAATCTGTAAAAAATTATTGCAGCAATCAAGTCATCTTTCATAGCCTGCCGCAGATCATTTAAAATTAACTTTAAAGCCGAAAACAGTCGCTCTACGCTAGCTTGAGTTGTTGGCATGCTCGAAGCAATTCTACAGGCAGCCTGAATGCAGTGTGGGTAGCTGTGAATGGCCTCCAAAAAAACTTGACTTTTAGCCTACCTATAGACTCCGCCTCACAACCTTCCCAAAAGTTTCTCTTGAATAATGCTTCATTACAATTATGAATCGCAGAAACTCGCCGGCGTCTTTGTTTATCAAATTCCTTTTCGAAGTTGTCATTTTCTAAAGAATTGGTGCTTGAATTATCTCCATTTCCCTGTGATGGTTGAAGACATCTCAGGGATGGATGCTCGAACAAGCTCAGAGTGGAGATGGAAGTTTGAGAACAGCCTGCTATTTCTAAAGGATGTGAACTTTCCGAAACAGCAAATTCGATTGCTGATGACTCCTTTTGTTGTGTTTCGTTTTCTTCAACCTCTTTCGCTGAATTCAAATGTAGCAATAGCTTTTGTTTTTCAAGTCGTCGAGCAATATCAAGGAGCCCTTCCTTTGCCTTTGGTATTTCCCTTGAGGTAAGAAGAATCCAATACCAAATCCAATAATCAGTTGGTATTTTTAATTTTTCATAAAATTAATATAAATTTTTATTTATAAATTGCAATTTAGTTTATGAAATTTTGCAGTAAAAATATTCCAAATATTTTCCAAGTTTTTAATATCTCAAACGCTTTAATATAGATATATCAATGAAATTTGGTATGTGCTGTAGCGTTAGTATGTGCTATTGTTGTTCTACAACATTAATTGTTGGGAAATAATGAGGCTACACATTACAAGGTTGAAAATAAACACACAGTCTAACTAATCTTCGCGAGTACGTACTTGCCTAACCTTAGCACAAGGGTGGGAGCAGTCTGAAGTGTTGCCGGATGTCTGATAATTATCTGATTCTTTAATAACATATCCCCAAAAAACTTTGTAATTTTGTATCTGTACATTAAATCTTGATTTTGAAAAGTGAGAATAACTGTGACATATTACGTAAAGTGGAAAAGTAGATGTTAATATCAAGTGTTACACAATCTGAAACTTTTTGGCACCTTTAGGACTTTCTTGCTAAAATATCATTCATTTTGGATTGAAAATGAAAAAAAAAAAACCTGGAGCAGTGGAGCAGTCAACATTTTCTGTGCTCCAGCTCTGGGCAAAAACCTGCTGCTCCGCACTCCAGCTCTGGGCTCTGCTCCAAAGCCCTGCCGGCTAGCTTTACACTAAACCTTTCTGTTACTTAGAGGCAGAAGGTTGTCATCTCACATGTCTTGGAGCACTGGATGGGCTTTTAATGCTTTTCTTACTCTTGTGGGAAGTATTCAAAATCATTTACATGACTCCCAGTCAGAGAATATTAAAAATAGCCACTTAAGTCACGTTAACCTTCCCTGACTGTCAGTTTAGCCTTACAAGTTTATTGGGATTTGAAATCAAGTGACCATAATGGAGTGTGAGTTTGTGTCTCTCTCCCTCCCTCTCTCTCTCTCCCTCCCTCCCTCTTTCTCTTTGTATAACTTTGAAGTAAAGCTTCATATCAGAGTGCTTGCCCACATATATTAGTGTGCGACCAATCAGGGTGTGACTCAACTGTGCACCAGTCTGCTTACACTAACTTGCTGTATGAATGAAGCCTTCCCGTGAAATTCATGAGGATGTGCCAGATATTACACTTGTGAATTTTTCCACTTTGTATTATTTGTCGAGCCCTCGTCATGAAAAATGAATGCAATCTACTCACCTTTGGCGAGTAGATTGCAACCCGAAGAGCCAGGTTCGGATGATCTGCACACGGAAGAGCCAGGTTCGGGTGATCTGCACACACGCAGAATGCCAGACAGCGTGGCTGGTGAGCGGGGCTTGCTGCGGTTCGGCGAGCCCTGTTCATGACTAACTTTTTTAAATTGAGTTTAAAAAGACAGAACATTTAGGGTACATCTACACTGCACCTTAAACTTGAAATAAGTTATTTTGATTTTATTTTGAAATAGGCTATTCGAAATTTGGCGTGTCTACATGGTGCCAAATTTTGAAATAAAGTGCTATTTTGAGCCATCCCTTAAACCCTCGTGCAACGAGGTTTACAGGGCTCGTGAAATAGCACGTCCATTATTTTGAAAAATTTTGAAATAATGGGAGCATTCCTTGGACACGGGGTAGCTATTTAAATAGCTGTGTAGTGTAGACGTACCCTTGGTGTCTTTCACTTAATTCCCAAATTATCTACACACACAGATTTTATTTGAATCCTCTTTTTGCCTTGGGGATCTATTTCTGTCATCCTGTAGCAGAAACAGCATTCAAAGTTCTCCAGTCTCTGGCTCAGATACTGTGTATGTAGGCTGGCCTTTACTGCTCCTGGCAGTTTTGGGGAGAACAAAACCATGCATGCTCTCAGGATGCTCACAGCTGAACAGTTTAACCTCCAGGCAAAATATGAAGGATGATACTCTGTTCTTCTGAAAGTCTTGGTTAAAATCTTAACTTAAAATAACATTGCAGTGTTTATAAGGAATGTGTATATTCTTTGAAGAATGGAGTGCATTGGTATGTTCAAGGTACTCAAAACGATTTCATTTAATAAGATGGTACTTGGTATTCATATTGTAACTTATATGACTCCATTAGCTGATTGTGTGTGTGTGTGTGTGTGTGTGTGTGTGTGTGTGTGTGTGTGTGTGTGTGTGTGAAAAAATCTGTTCCCATTTTAATGAAGTTTCTTTTTTAAAGCTGTTTTGGTGATGAGGCTGATGGATTTACTACTTTAAAGTATCAAGAATGAAATATGCCTTACTGATACTGTTCTGGCTGGAATGCTTCTTTCAAATACTTTTTTTATTTTAGAGATCTCCAACTTGAGCAGTAAGGATATCTTTGTTTTGCCTCTTGATTTGATGGATAGAAGTTTCCATGAAGCTGCAACTAAAACCGTTCTTCAGCATTTTGGCAGAGTGAGTTGAACTTTGGGCTGAGTCCTGACCACTAGCCCCCCACCTTTATTCATTGGCTTTGTTTTTATTTCCAGTAACTTGGCAAGGTTGGTTACCTATTTTGTATGTTTGTGTGGATACCAAATCCTTGATCCTACAGTTGCTTGCCATTGTGGGCATGCTATTGATTTCGGTGGAGTTCTGCTCATATGCTCGTCCTTTCACCTAACTTCTGTGTAAGGATTTGTGAATTTAAGACTTTGATCCTGATCTGTGGCCATATAACTTGATTTCTAGACCCATACTGAAAAATGAAGAACCATAACTGTGTGTATTGTAATGAAAGTAGGGAAGTTAAAATGAGGTTATTTTACTAATTGAGTAGTTGATGGAATTTATTGGTGACTCGATTAGTCGATAGGGGAGGGTAGCTTCCCCACTATGGCTCTGCAATTTAAAAGGCAGTAGGAGCTGGGCAGCCTGCCTCCCAGCTCCTACTACATTTTAAATGCAGAGTCTGGGCTGCACTAAGTATTAGATTTGCACATTCGCAGGTGGCATGGTGGAGCCAGCGCTATGGCAAGCTGGCTTTTAAGTAGGGATGCAAGCAACTAATCAACTAGTCGACTATCCGATAAGCTTTTGCTCATTGGATAGTGGATAC